AAAAAAAAAAAAAAAAAACCTGCGTCACATCGTCGGCAATGTTAACAGAATCGACAGGCTCATCCCATTCTTTTTCATCTTCTGTTGTTGTGGTGAAGATAGAAGAAGAAGCAGCTTTGGCAGGTAAAGCTGTTGTTGCAGCAAATGAACCGCTGTTGACATTGCTATTATCGTTAGTGAATGACAAGGTATATGCAGCTTTAAAGTGTAAAAAAGGGTGCCGCTTAAGAGGATAAATTAAGGGTTTTGAAACAGGAAGATGAAGCAGAGAAGATGATAGAGCCATTTTCTTGTGAAGACGACGAGATGGTTTCTGTGGGGTTTTGGGTTTTTGATCGTTTAGTTTATCTATCTTTTTCTTTTTGCATGTAAACCCTCTTATTTTAGCTTTATTTTAGAATTATTTCAAATTTCGCACATCCATAGCTTCCCTTTAATTAATCCCACCATTCCCCTACTTTTATTTGTTTCTAAATGTTTTGCAAAGTCTAAATTGTGTAAGATAATACAAAATTGATCATTAATAAGGAGGGCTTGAGGGTTGTTCTCCCATCCATAGTTATTTTTTTGTAATTAAAGATAAATTGAATTGACTATAAAAAATTATCTATTATGTATTTATTTATGAAATTTTAAAGGTAAATTTCTTTGAATCCCTACTCAACAAGAATTGTGTATTAAAAAAATTTTCAATTTTCATTTATATATTTTATAAAAATATTATATAAAATTAAGTACAAAATTAATTAGAGAGTTATTTATATAGACAAATAAACAAAAACCCAAGTAGTATTATTTTAGAAATCATGAGCCCTAGGGAATCAAATTCACCATCATTTTTCACCATTAGGTTTCTACGTGAGTCTCACATCTAACCTCAACATTGAGTTATCAAATTAAGGGTTTGTTTGATGCAACTTGTTGGAGCTTTTGTTTTTTTTGTACCGTTTATGAGTGATAAGTTTAAATTTTTATTGAAGGAAAAATTTAAAAGTTGCTTTTAAAGATAAGAAAAAATGAGTAAAAAAAAATTTATGAAAAATTTGAGTTTGAAACTTTTAATCTTTTACTGTTTATGATTTTTTTAAGGTTAAAAAAATATTTAAAAATGTAAGGTTTTAGAAAGAAAATTGAAACTTATGAAATATGAATAATATAAAAAAATTGAAGAGACACCCTAAATTACACTTAATCCCTCAACTTTTTTCCAATATCAATTAAGATCTTAAATTGTATTATTAAGCAAGTAAGTCCTCAATATCAATTTGGCCCAAGAAAAAAAAAGCAATAAAGTCCTCCAGTTATTCGAATTGAGCAAATGTGCTGAGATTCATTATTGAAACTTGAAAGGAACCTAGAAGCCAAAAAGTGCAGAATTGACCTAAATTTGGCTCTAACCTCTACTCCTTGAAATACAAAGATTTTAACAAATTCAAAAGGCTTCATGTTCGGATGATGTTCTGGCTATACTTGGAACTCACACCGTCAAAATTTTCTTCAGCTATTATATCTTTTTCTCAACAAAATTGACCCAAGCCCTTTGCTCTAGATGCAACTATATACAAGTCTTGTTGAAATTTGTAGGCATAAACTACAGCAAAGCTAGATGCGCCATCCGATATCAAGTCTTCAAGCTTCAGGCCAAAAAGAATATGATTTTCTCTCAGTCACCAAAAGTTCTTTGGTGATGGTATAGTAATTAACCCTCTTTCTTTGCGAGTGACAGATTGGGAGAATCTCTTGGATTTGTTTACCTTCATCCTGATAGCAGGAACCTTGCGTGCAACTGCCTGCCATATCATCTGGACAGCATCACCCTCCTTTGATGGGAGTTGAAACTCGAAGAACTGCTCAACCTCTTGCAACTTCTGCCACATTCGAGTCCACTCATCCTTCTTAATGCTCCTGATGAGGTTTATGAGGAAATTTTCTTTGATAGCATCTGATGTGCGAACAAATATGCAGAACTGAGAGTAGTCAAGAACATCCTCATATGGAAGCTCAATTTCATCACTGATAATGACAGGAACACAGTGGCTAGCAATGGCATCAAAGAGGCGGTTTGATGACGGGGTGTCACCAGCAATGTTTAGGCAAAATTTTGAAGAATGCATGCCGTGAGAAGCTTTGTTTACTCCATCCTTTTGAACACTTCCAAATGAGAAATGCACATCTTTTTCATCCCTTAGCAGATAAAATAGCTCTTGTCGAACAATGCCTCCCTGAATTTGAGCAAGCAAAGAGCAAAAGGAGAAAATATTGGAGTAGATAATAATGAAAAAAGATTGCAACAGAAAAATAGAGATTTATTGGTACTTGATTGAATGGCATCCAATTTGCAGAATAAGATTCCAGTTCGTATATGATAGAGTTAGAAAACATGTTGTATTTGGCATAGAGGAAAGATTTGAACAGAAGGCATTTTTATGCTTCTGCTAAGCAGGTGAGGATGCAGAGCATATTCATTCACCAAAAGGCAAACACATGGATAAATCAAACAAGTAAAGGAAAGAAAATATAAGATTCAAGTACGGTTAGTGACAGAGCATTTATCTCATGAAAGTATGGTTTGAGTGCAAAGAATACAAGCAGATCATCAGATAAGCCGGGCATTTTCCTAGTCTTCTCTCTATAGCTTAGATTTGAGGTAATTCACTTAATCAGATATTGAAGACATGCTATCTTAGAAAGCCTAAAAACAAATCAAGACAGTATTAATGAAAGGCTCAGGTCAGAGCATCTTATCTGCTTTCCAACATATCAATTTCCTTGAAGGAAAATATACAGCAAGACTGGAATGGTAGCAGTATCTTGGAAATATTAGGATAACTCCTTAATTAAATTTCAAACATGTAATTAAATCAATAAACAAAAAGGAGGGTCAATCCTAGTATTCACAAAGGAAACATATCTGCCTACCATAGCCAACTTATTTAGCATTGTATTTGCCTCAAGCTTATAATCATTCTCAAAAACTCAGTTCCTACTGATAACTTGATCTACTTTAATGACCATGAATGAACCAAGACATACTGAATTCTTTAGACAATATTGCTTTAGAAAAGAAAGGGAGAGCAGAAAAGGAAAAGGAAATATGCATGCCCACATCTTGGATGAAGCACATCACCTGATTGCTCCTCTAGGAAGAAATGTATCCCATCTCCCCAAGGCAGAAGGGTGACATCTAAAAATATACAAATAAAATTCCATCTGACTTCTGAAGCAATTTCCCAATTAAACCCAAAATTCTCAAATATGTATATCAATTGCACTCCAGCCTACTAGAGTTGTGTGCTTCCCTTGAAGGCATCTTTGTTCATTGTGACTTTTATCTTTAGTAATAAATATTTTATAGTGAATTGCTCTCAGAGGATAAATAAAACAATCTGTAAAGTACAATATGACCAAAAGAAGACAAACTTATATTGGTTTGATAATTAGTAAACCATAGCATCAGAGCTCAAGCATGGACAGAGTTACTGGCAAAGCTAACTGTAACAAGGAGGAAGAGCACTTACATCTTTTCTGTATATGGCTCCTTGGAAGTACAGCAATGTTGGGCGGCTATCAAAGGTAGATGTATCATTGACATAGCTCTTGATTAAATGTTTGTATGGTGCAATTACATCTTTCTCAACATTTGCTATATTTGGAGAATACCTTCCAAAGTCTGAAAGAATAAACATTGAAGGCCACAGCTTCGTCCTAGCATTTAGCATGCTATTTGGGTGGTGGGCCATTACAATATGATCTCGTCCACCTGACCTCATCCATTCCTTTTGTGAAGTCACAAACTTCACCAACTTATCTTGCAAAATCTTGTCCCTGCTGCTCTTTTCATGGGGTTTCAACTTTGAAAACCGATTAAAGCTCAATGAAGAAAAGAATGGCACAAATATAACATCAGCCTCACTAGAGTTGTGAACTCTTATTGCAGCATGAGAATTTGGATTCTCATAAAATTCAGAAGCAAGGAGGTCCAATGTAAGCCAATATTCTATACTATGCTGCAAGTTCAATCCACCAGGATAGCTAGGTATGTTAGTCCTAATATCAGGCCAAACACTTTTGCCTTCAGGTTTCCAATCCAAAAGTCCAAAATGAAACTCAGGATCTAAATCATACATGTAAACCTTAAGTGGTTCCTTCCCATTTCTATGGCAATTCACATCACTACCCTTCTGTTGAGCACCTTCCTCTTTCTTTTCAGGTGCTTCTTCCCCTTCTCCTTCCCCATCTCCCTCAAGAAATGCTTTATTTCCAGTCAAAGGCTGGACAGTACTCTTACTAAATGATTTGGAATTGCCATCATCAATTACGGAAACAGGCTTCAAATTGGGCAACATATTATGGTCAATGAAGTGAGGACGATCTGTGGAACGCAACACGAAGAACCAGGACAATACAAACAACATTGAAGCTATTGTAAACAAGGAAAGGAAAGATTTCCTGGTGGCAGACGAGCCATACCTATCAGCCATCCTAATGCTACAAAATCTACTACTTCTTCAAGAAACCACTCAATACCAAGAAATCAAAATTACTTCTAAACTGAATTTCAAGATTCAAATGATCTAAAAAACCCATAAATTCAAACCCCATCTGCGTCTACCTTCTTAAACAAATAGACAACCAACAGGTCAACCCAAAAAACCCAATGCCACCAACAAAAAAACTCAACAAAAAGAAACCCGGAAAAGCAACGTTAGAACCCAAAAAGAAAAAGAGAATCTGAAGAGAAATTTCAGATCTTGGGTAGAAATAATCAATGGGTTGTCAATGCTACAGTAGGTGAGGGTGCAGTAATGTCGTACCGTGGATGAAAAGCAAAGCCACAGATGGAGAATTTCGTGGAAAGTTTCTTGACAATGTTGGTTTTTTCCAGGTGTTGTAACTCTATTCGTTTATCTCTCGTGCAGTTTCCGCTCTCTCTTCTGCACAAAAGAGCCAGAGGAAGAAGAAGAAGCGTTGGAATAGGGGTCTCTCTTAAGAAGCGGGCTCTTTATTCTTTCTATTATTTGTATTTTTAGTCTTTTAATTTTTTTATTTATAGGAAATAAATATTTTGAAGAAAAATTGTTTTCTGGTTTGGACTTTATCACATTGTGAAAAAAAAAATATATATATATATATATATATGTACATGAAGAGAGTCCTTAATTTGAACGGCGAAACAAGGAATCCGTACTTCTAATAATTGCTGTATTTCATTGGTTAAAATTTTAATTTGGTTATTCAATTATTATATAGAATTTCGATTTGGTTTTTAAACTAAATATTTTTTGATTTGATCTTTAAGCTATTGTATAGACTCCAACTTAATCTTACTATTTACTAATTTAATCATAATTAGTCTTTTCATACAAAAAATAATTAATGTGTCTATTACTTAATAGCTATATGTTATGTTAATAACAAAACACATCAGTTATTTTTGGTGCGAAAGAATAAACTTGAGGTAAATTGGTAAATAATATGGATCAAATTGAGAATCTGTACAATAATTTAAAGATCAAATTAGAGATTTTTTTAGTTGAGAAACCAAATTGAGGATTTTACCTATTTCATTTTGGTTCCATAACTTTATTATGTGGTGCTTTATGACTGAGGTTAGACATCTAACATTTTTAATGCTAAAATGTAATAATTAATGAGTAGATATTACATTATATATAATTTTAATTATTTATTTTTAAATTTTTAATAATTGAGATTTATCACAAATTTTTAGATGAAAAGTATAATATTTTTAATGAATATGATAAAAAATAAATTATTTTTTTTTATTTTAATTATACAATAGAAGGCAATTATCTCTCATCCATTATCC